GGCCACGCTACTATCTCAAACAATGGATTGATATATTGTCTTGGGGGAAAAACTGATGATAAGTGAGTCTCTAAGTCTTTTCGTGACAATTTGTAACATTATTTGGTTGGTCCTTTATAGATGATGTGTCCTCACACTCAGAAATCAGGGTTTCCCTTTTTTACATCTTTTACATTAAGGTTGCTAACAATTTGGCAGAGGGGAGCACATTATGGTATATAGGGTCTCTTTTTCATGATAAGATAAAATTGCATGTAAAATTCAACCAGTTATTTTAATGACTATACTTATTTTCCAGGCAAATTTTACTTACATTGCAGGCACATTAGTAATATATAGCTATGAGGACCCTCACTGAAAGTATTATTTCCTTCCAGATAGAAATACATAGGTGCTGTGGAATTACTGAGCCAGTTTTTCAAATTTTCTGACCTATGATGCCTGTTACGCCTTAATGGGTATAACATTTGGAAAATCAAAGTTTTCACTCACACTGAGCATGTGGTGGTAATTTCTCAGTGTTTGTGCAGGGGACATTTAAGACACAAGCATCTTAAATCAGCCAAAACCAGCAGCATAATCTTTCTTTTATAACTGTTGTCATACATTCCTCCACACACTCATGTGAAGACAATATGCTGGGAAAGGATGTTATCTTTCTCCTGGAAGGTACACTGAAATTGCTGCCCTATGTAAGCAGCATTTGACATTTGATTTAGTTCTATGGATGTGATTAATGCTTTGTAGACATGCAAAGATTCCCACTGTGGATACAGGACAGGATCTCATGGAGAGGAAGGAGGTATTATACATAACCCCACACAATCCACCTCACTTGGAACAAGCCAAAAGATCATTAGAAATTATCACCGGTTTTCTTTTCCTCCCCAGGAAATGCACTAACAGACTATTTGTGTACAATCCCAAGAAAGGAGACTGGAAGGACCTGGCTCCAATGAAAGTGGCTCGCTCCATGTTTGGAACAGCTATCCATAAGGGCAAGATTGTCATTGCAGGTGGTGTCACTGAAGAAGGTCTTACTGCATCTGTTGAAGCTTTTGATCTGACCACCAATAAGTGAGTACAATATTCAAGCTATTTTTAAGCAAGTGTTTTATCATTTAGGCTTTCAGAGCTCTGAGGTAAGTCACAGAGGCATTCAGGTGCTTGTGCTTCCACTGAGACACTGGGTCTACATCCACATCTTCAGCAGCAGCAGCACCTGAGACCCTGGAACTCTGGCCATTTTTTTCCTGTCCCCCCCAACATTTTCTATGCGAGTATTGCTACATTGCAAACACGATCAAAGAGCTCATGTACTGAAAAATACCCACCCTTTAATCTTTTTTCTTTTTTTTTTTTAAAGTCTGATTACTTTCCCAGAGTAGTTGATGACATAGCCACCTAACAGGTGTGCTGGCATAATGGGAGAAGTGGGAGCGATGGGCAGGGGCCACACAATCTGGTTGAAATGGCGCTGGCACTAAGTGTGAAGCCCCAGCAAGAAAAATCAGGTGCCTCAACAGGACAAGCTTTGGGTACACGGCCTTACGGCGTCTTGCTCTTCACTTACCTTGTCGTGGAAAATACCATTTACCACTAGTTAGTGACAGGCAGATGATTCTGCTTATTTATTTAATATGAAAACTCTAGGAAGACTTCAAATTTTAAATGCATCCTCTGAAATACTATAAAGAAAAAGTAAGGACAAAAGTGAGTAAGTCATCCTTGGAATTAGCTCACTTACTTGGTCCAGATACTTTCCAGCGTTCTTCCTCACAGCCAGAATCTTTCAGTCAGCATCCCCCAAACGTTCATGATTTTCCAGGAGATATACCATATATACCTGTCACTTTCTACTCTTAATTTTCCTTTTGGTTACTTTTGTTATTTTTCCTTCCTAACATCTTATTTACAAAATTTCATTTAAAATAATATTAGTAAAGCTTTATTATGATAGCTCAAACTGGTAAGTGGTCCTGGATGCACCTGTATTTTATTAACAAGCACTTTTACTGGATAAAAACTCCTTTGGCGGTGCTGTCTTCACTGACAGGTGGCACTGAAGCCATCAACCTACAACAAAAGGTTTAACTTCAATGTATGCTGTCCCAAAGAGACTTGCTTATAAAATTTAATACAAAGTCTGAATTATGCAAGAAGTAATTCTATGAGGGAACTTTGGACTTTACACTTCCTATAGAAAGCAAAGAAAAGTAAAGGTCGTTTTGTTCCATTCTTCTCTTCTGTTGTTCAGAATCACGTCCAGTTTCTGGTCTGAAAAATCTGCAGGTTCTTGGCTTGGTTTACACTGTTTTGTTACAGTTGAGTCACACTAGCGAGAGACACAAATTAGCCTAGTAGTTTTGATGTTGACATTATCCAGAAGCAGGATGTCTCTATATTTTACATGTTCATAGGTATGAATTGGCAGAAAATTTGAAATTATACTACCAAGCTCCAGTGACTTTCTTTTTTTACTGAAATTATTATGTCACTGCCACTTGAAATAAATACGCATTTTGGAAACTATTAGAGAGAAAAAAATGAGAGAAGCTGGGGAGCAATACATCTGTATAAGGCATATTACTGATGATGGGGCCAGGCAACCTGTAAGTGGTCACTGGAAAGAGATGTCATCATGGTATCATGCTGTCACCTAAGACTTGCAGAAGTCCTTGTGGGGATGGTGACGCTGAAATTCACTGCTGATAATCTCAGTTTTTTCCTTTTACTAAACGATTGATTGAGGCACTCCTTGGCACCTGAATTTATGTGACCCAGAGACTTATGTTAACGCATTCAGTTTGGAGTATTTTTCATGTGTTTGTTTAACTCAGGTTTCCCTTTTCATCTTTAGGTGGGAGATTATGCCTGAATTTCCCCAAGAGAGAAGTTCCATCAGTTTAGTCACCTTAAGCGGGGCTCTGTATGCCATTGGAGGCTTTGCAATGATTCAGCTTGAATCTAAAGAATTTGCACCCAGTGAAGTCACTGACATATGGAAGTAAGTTTAAATTTAATTTTCTTGGTGGAAAGCCATACCTAAAACTGAGGTTTGTAGACACTGGAGGGTAAAATTAGTCTTCTGTTTAACTCTGGAAACACAGAATAGGTTGTAACTCACTGACAGATAAAAACGTTTGTCAGAAAGCAACAAATAGACATGAGATTTGGATCTAATAACTACTTCCACCTCCTCGTAATCTGAACTGTCTGAGTCATGATCTTCAGATTCTTTTACTCTTCAAGAGAGTAAGTTGCCATATCTCTTGGCAGGTTTAGCCTTGTAAGAGGTACTGTAAAAACATTCTCTGTTTTGTGACATTCTCACACAGAAAAGGCTGTAAAACAGAGGTCTGTACGTAGTCAAATGAGTAATTGTTCCGAAAGAACGAGAAATCCCTAACTCCTTTTTGTTTTTTTTTTAAATCTAAATCACAGTAACAGTGATAAAACATCACATCTCTGCTGTGACTCTTCAGTTGCTAAAGTATATTCAGGAGTTTTAACTGGCAGAAGGATAGAAAGGATTCCCAGAAAAACCACCTTTATATGCAAGAATGTGAAATAATTCAGAAGGGGTACTTAACACAAGGAAGAAGCTTTTATAGGAGTAATTAAAGTATGACACAGGCCAGCAACAAGCTTTAGGGACTTGGAAAAGGACAACTCACATGCACAAGAAAATCTTTCTGTTCTGCTTTAGAGGACAAAAGCAGCCTTTTTGTGGCATCCTTCAGCACATGGTTGCTACAAGCCTTTGCAGCATGTGGACTATCCTTTTCATGTATGTGTGATGAAGCATCAAATCTCATTTCAAGCAGCTGTGTTCTGACCTCCTTTTGTTACATGCAGGTATGATGATGAAAAGAAGGAATGGATTGGCATACTGAAAGAGATCCGATACGCTACTGGGGCCTCCTGCCTGGCTACACGCTTAAACCTCTTCAAGTTATCAAAACTGTAAACAAAACACTGGAAAATGTGCTGTGGTGAGGGAGTTTCCATAGGCTCTTCTGGGTTTGTTGCATGAAATTGTCCCCAAATTGTACAGAGTTTTGTAGCAGCGTACTAGTTATACTGTTAAACAGTTCATCTGTCTGTCCAAGTCTTAAGATATTTACTGGCTAATCAACAACTAGATTTTTGCCAATGTTTAAAATCCTGAAGAATTCTAATCAACGTTGATTAGAATAAATGAAGATTTCAGAGATAACTCCATTTTTTACTCTGTGAAATTGCCAATAAAACTGGTCAGAGTTCCTTACACTCAGAAAATCCAGGATAGTGGCAGCTTATCCTCCAAACGATGCCCAGGAATTAATTGTTAAGTTAAATACAACTAATAGGTACCTAATTTTATTCTAACTGGCCGTTTGTACAGCCTGACTTCCCCCTTCAGCAATGTATGTAAATCCTGCATTCTTCAGCCATATCTTGAAAATATTTTCATTAGAGCCTTTTACAAAGAATTTAGCCTGAAACTGAAGTGCATATTGAAAACAAAAGCAACCTAAAGCTACGTGGCCTAAGAAACACCAACCTCAGCCAAAGCAGTACTAATAGCCAGATGGGAGGCAAGACAGAGAAGTCCACAAGGTTAATAGCTCTACTGTTTCACCTACAGTGTTTCGGCTTCTGGTAATAAGGATTTTCCACTTTTTTATGCTTTTATATTTATTTCCAAAGCAAGTATTTTATGGAAGTTTTTCTCAGAGATCTGAGGCCATTAACAAGCATTAATGAAAAAGTCCTAGAATTGATCATCAGCAAGTTATCTACAGCAAAGAGGACTTTTCCACCTAATAAAGAGTTGATGAATTTTGATGTTGAAACTTTTAACAATTAAACTTTGTTTTTAAAACTATAAAAAGTATCACTCGATTATGTCTCTTTCAGTAATCAGCTCATCATCACTATCATACTGACAGCACACAGATTTCTTAGTACAGCAATAGGTGTTCTTAAAGAGGAGCATGCCCACCATATAGAGTATCTCTTCAAAGGATTTCTCCATTGAATAAAGAGGGTGTCATAAATGTAAAGGACATCATAAATCTAAACCTAATTACAACTGATGTAGCAGGAAAACTGGGAAAGAAGCCCACCACACCTGACTGAGCAGCAATTCCAACTATCAAATGACTCCTTGCATTGCCTTCCTAGGGGACAGAGGTAAACATATGGCACAGGCACAGCCATTGTAGCTCATTTCAGTGTGCTACTGTACACCATACACTGTACTTAAGCTGTGGGACATCTTTTCTGTTTTCCCCTTTAATACCCAAATCTTCAGCTGTTTTTAGCATCTTTTCATTTGCTCCAGTTAAATCACTGGTTTATACCAGCCCATCTGCTCTAACACTTGCTGATTTCATTTAGAAAGGATGACTGCAAAGGATCAAAAGCAGCACGTTTTACTGTGCTTTTGCACTATATTTTGCTTTTCTTAGTTGCCCTTTCTGAATCCACTCAGAGCGGGTTTTAATCCCGTCCCCACTGTGAATACTCATAACTTTAACCATACACAACTTGGACATACCTGGGTGGCACTGGGTGACTGCTGGAGGCCTGAAAAGAAGGGTTCAGCACAAATACACAACCATCCATGACTGATCACTTCAGCTACAGCCACTGTCAACTCTCGTATGCTCCAAGGTTGCCACATGAAGGCCATCTGTGCACAAGCAGGGTCCCACAGGAGCCCTCTGACTTGTAGCCCAGCTTCTGAGCTCCTAACCTGTATTTATGATTGTCTTCCATTGTCTTCTCCATATACAAAACATAATGCGCATATTGTCTTTCTATGGTGTGCTGTGCCTTCAATGGCATTTCCTCAAAGCATTCATCTTCTACATCTTGGAGCCCTTGTCCTTTTGATAGTGTAAGCAGACAACCATCTACTAGTTTTTTCAGTCATCCCACAAACATGAGGGCTGCTTCAGGAGGAGACTGTCTTGCAGCTTAGATCAGTTCTGTTGGGTTTTCATTGCTTTTCCTTAGTGTCCAGATTTGTATTAAGTCAAGAAAAATAACTTTCTTCTTCTACTACTGCGTGGTAAAAAAGCGCCAGCCAGATGCGTCCTGATCACTTTGGAAATGCAGCTGCTTACCTCTGCCAGGCTTCAAAGGAAATGGCAAAGAGAGTGTCTATTGCTTCTACTAAAAAGGCAAGAAACCAGCTACAAATTGTGTGTGTGAGGGAGCTGGGCACAGCCAGCAGTGCTCAGGAGGGAACAGCAGCTGCAGGCCCCACACGGCCGCTTTGCACAAGTAGGACTGCTCTGTAGTGTACAGTGAGCATTCTCCTGGGTATCCCGCTGCTCCCTTCCACATCTCCGGATCTTAAGCCTCCTGACAAACCCTGGCTGAGTGCTATCCCAGGACGCCTGGTCACTGGCAGATGGTTGAGGGACATGATAAATAAACCAGCCATGTATTTCACCCCCAGCAAGCAAGGCGGTTGTGACAATCTGAAGGCTTTTCTTGGTCTTGATTCTGAGTTTCAATTTTCAGCCTAATTTTGCTCTTTTGGACACAGTCTTATTTACAGAACAGGCAGGTCAGATGGTCTGTTTAATTTTATTTCTACTAGCAAGGGCTAGTCCAATGCATAACGCTGTAATAATAAATCTAATGAATTATGCAGCGCCTATGTCTGCCATAAGCATTATATTTTCCTTATCTTGTATATATCTTTTGGGAATCCCTTCCAAGTTGCCTTTAACTGGAGTACAGCTGTTGCAAAGCCCGGAGTGGCTGCCAGACTTTTAGAACTAGCCTATCTTTTAGGTATCCAGACGGTTCAAGCCATACTTCTTCTGCACACACCACATCACAGGGGAGGAGAAGCAGCTGGAGGTTTCTCATGGCACAACACCCTCCCCCGACACAGTCACCCACGGTACCTCTGTTCTGGGAGATGGAAGCAGAACGGCTGTAATACCAGTCCTATTCTTAGTAAATCTGCATTTCAGTTTCTTGGTTTCACAGTACAGACACTGTTTGATCCCTATTGCTCATTCTGTCACATGCTGGAGGACAGACATAGTTTCCAGTAGGTTTGCTGCCTTCTCTCTCACAGTCAAGAGTACTTCCAACTTTCTCTTTGGACAGTTTTAGTTGTCCAGCTAAGCCTCTGCGCTTTATTTAGGACATAATAATGTAATTTTATGGCAAAACTGTCACAGACTCATGTACTTCTTCAAGAATGGCTTCCATATAATGGGGGATTTTAAGCATCTTTGTCACATTCTTCATGGCGTACTGTCACCTGCTTTTTGCAATCTCTAACAAACTGAGGATTAAATCTCTTGATACCTGATGCCCCATGGCAAGCCTTGGTCCAGCTGACTCACAGACAAAGAGATTTTTCAAAGTCGGTATTCCAGTATTACAAGAAGTTTAATGGTACCCGAAGTGTTTGTATAAAAAATACTTTGGACTGCATGTCTGACATCACTGTATTCCATATAAATGCTTTCTCAGATATTCTAGCTGTTCACCTTTTGTTGACAGACCCATAGAATTCCATTCGAAGTGAGGAATCTGTAGAACAGAATCGTAAGAACCGAGTGTTAACACTGGCTGGTGTATGCCACATACCATCTTACAGCAAAGCAAAGGCTCTCTGATATCTGTTGTTCTCCACTTGAAGATATTTTATCACCTGTGTCCTTCTAAAAGCCAGGCTTATTCTAGTACTGAAAAGATTACTTTCTCAATGTGAGAGTCTTCTTCCTGTAAGTACCGTCACTTTGCTTCCAAAAAGCAGTGTGGTTGCGGAGGTGTAAAGCAGATACCCACACAATACCGGCTACTGCAGCTCCATTACATCATCTCCCACTTTTTGAAACCCGAATCAAGAGAAAAATCCCAGGTCACTACAGTTTGTAAAGTTAATGTATCAGGCTGGAATGGTGTATCAGCAGTACAATGTTTACTGTCAGGGCAATATGAGAAATGTTGTTTATTCTGTTTAAAAAAAAAGCGCCAGACTTAAGCTTAAAGAGGGATTCTAGCTAAAATTAGGTGAGTAATTATGTATAGAGGATAATCTGCATTGACGAGCCTCTATTACCCAAATGTTTCTATGCTGGCAGCTGTGAATTACGGCTGGCCACTGGTCTTCCCTGTGACAGCACTATCGCTGCAGCAAACACACAGCATCCATATCCCATCTTGCAGCTGCCATAACTGTCTCCCTATCACTCAAGGAGGGTTTGTTCAATCTTTTTCTAGTGTAGAAATCTTTTGTGAATTGAACTGAAACTCATTTCACTTTCCCTCCTTTACTCAGGCTACATCGAGATTGCTGGTTTGTCTGCAGCAAGGAAAGACTGAGACCTTTTGACTTCAGTTTTGCTGCAGCCACTTTCAGAGAAGGTGCAAGTTCTATGAAGTCCTTACACCATCTTGAGAACAGCTTGGAATTTCCCCCCTAAATGCAAAAATTGCATTTTAACTACTAAACTATCTATAAATCTGTTGCAAGAAGGAAAAGTATCAATCTGCACTATTGATCCAACTCAGAAAGGACATAAAATATTGTTGAGTGCTCACCTGAACAACCTGGTATCCCAGCATTTCCAGGTGTCGTTTTTTCACTGCAGGTTCTCCTTTCAGGTGACGTGAGTTTTTGCTAAAAGCTTTTGAATCAAGGAATTCCAGTGCAATTCTGCAAACAACAAAAACTTGCATTTACTTTCAGATTCTGCCTGAATAGCGAGAAGCAGTATTTCTAGTTCAGTGTTGATAGCTGCAGCAAGACAATTACTAGATAAACCTGACAATTCATAGAAAAAGAAAATTAAACAACTACCTGAAACTAGTCAAAACATCTTCCTCATATTTATTTAGATACTTGATCTTCACGTGATTTAGCAAAAGCACCTCCTCCCTCTATCTATTTTTGTTCACATGGCCAAAACAGATAACCAGCATTTTCAAGGTCTACATCTGAAGAAGTGGGAGGAAAACAAACGCCAGTCAGGAATGCCTTGTCTGCCCCAGTGAACTGGGTCTGGCTGGGATGGAGTTGCTTTTCTTCACAGCAGCCTGTACGGTGCTGTGCTTTGGATCTGTGACCAAAGCAGTGTTGATAACACACCAGTGTTTTGGCTATTGCTGAAGACTGCTTGCACAGCATCAAAGCCTTCTCTGTTTCTCACTCTGCAGCCACAGTGTACAGGCTGGTGTTGGCAAGGGGTTGGGAAGGGACACAGCTGGAACCCCAACTGGCCAAAGTGCTGTTCCACACCATGTAATGTCATGCTCAGCAATAAAACGAGAGGAGTTCTTCCAAAGTAGTCATTGCTCCAGCATTGGGCTGCTGGTGGTGAGGACAGCATTTCCATGAATTGTTTTCTCTTCCCTTTTTGTTTATATTTTTTTCTTCTTCTTTCTTCTTTTCACTTATTAAACTGTCTTAATTACAACTCAGGAGAATTTTTTCCTTGCTTTTGCTCTCCAGATTCTCTGCCCCATCACACTGCAGGGGAGTGAGTGAGCGACTGGGTGGGAGCTTAGTTGCTGGCTGGGGTCAACCCACCACACTTGGGAAGGCTAAACCTCATAAGGCTTTGAAAAAATAAATACTGTAGGGATTGCAACAACTGTTTAGGATATAAGCATCAAAAACCTGGTCTAAACTTGGAAGTACAAGAATTCTATGTACTAACCTCTGAGCTCCTGGTGGTAGAGCCATTCTCCCTTCACTGTTGATGTCATGTCTCATGTGTATTCCCTCCACTTCATCCAAAGGTATATGCTGAGCCATATAAGAAAGAGGCTTTTTATTTTCATCCAGAATACACTCAAAATCTGTGAGAAAACACAACAAAACTGTTTACTGACAAAAAAAAGTGAAAGAATTTGATCTGTACAGTGTTTACTTCTGGAAAAGTTGTGATAACTGTAATTAGAGGTACTTAACATTATTTATATTACACAGAACTCTTTAGAAACTGTATTTTATACAGCAATTTCTTTGCAGTATCTTGTGGCCATATGCCCCGGGGCTTCCTAATCTTGTGATAAAAGGTGATATTGGAGGTCTCCATAACAATCCTTAGAGGATTAACTTCTCACCTATTTCATAGTAGTATGGTGTGAGAACAGATATTCTTGCATAATTGCTCCCTCCTAAGATCTCTGTCAGCATCCTGTGAACATGCTGTCGCAGTGGATTTATTCGGCTACTGCCTACAAAGACAAAATAAAGAATTCATACATCAAAACTTCCACAAACAAAGTTTTGAAAATAGCACTTTGTGATACTGCACTTTTAAAAGTCAGCCTACTGAATTAAAGCTTTTCCACACATCCCTGGCGTTATTCCACCATAATTCAGAGACCATGTGATCACCTTTCAGGTGGAAAGTAAAATGAATTTCAAATCTAGACTTTCCATCCCAGGATTTTTCCCATTGACATTCTACAAAAGCTTTAGTTTCAGGTTTTACCTGTTGGATTTTGTTTGCTTTTAATTGTGCTTAGACAGTAAAACAAGTATTAACTTATTCTACATTTATCACAGGCACACCTCACTATCTGTCCCTTCTCTGTCTATTGCAGATTGTTTAATACCTTGCTCCATTAAACACCTTCAATCTCAGAGTTAAAGCAGCTGAGCTCGATGGATACCAAAGCAGATCTCCCCCATAAGAACTAGTGGAAGAGATACCGAGTTTGCATGAGCTAGATCTTCTAAACCAACCACTATTCTGAAAGATCTCAGCTGCTACACTTGACCACTATCCTACTTCTCCACCTCTTATCCTTGATGGATCTTGAATCTTCTGAGGAATGACAGCAGCAAAAACGTTCACCTTGAAAAATTTAAGTCAGTCTTAAATTAAAGAGTTCAGTCTTGTAAGTGAAGCAAGGATCAAAGTGACTCATGTCCTCCAGTAGACAATCCTAATGATCCTCTTCCTCCCTCTCCATCCTCTGTGCCATATACACTGTTTCTGTGTATTTAAATTTTATTTCTTATGTAGAAACATCCCTTCTCTATTACACTAATTCTCACAGGGAAAGCTGCTTTGCTATCTGTCGCGATACTACGTGGTCACAGTATTCAAGAATGCATCCTCAGCAGATAGTAGGTTTTAGAAGAAGCATCAACAGACTGCTGAAAACAGACTCTTACTAGTAACAAGGGCAGCTTTTCCTCTCCTAAGTTACTTACTGTTATGAAAGACACGTTGGCAGTAGCGCTCATGAAACCAAGGGATGTGAAACTCCGGGCATTCCAGACAGACTGCTCTGTTCAATTTCATGAGGTGCAAGCGGACCCTTTGCTTTAGGGTATGAGGCAGGACTGAGTTAAACAAAATAAAAAGGTGTGAACTGAACACACTGAACTAAATGGCTACCTCTGAATTATTTACCAGAGATGCAGTACCTGCATGCTACAGTTTATAAAATTCCTGCTGCAGAATCTTAGAAAGGTTCTCAAAAGCCCCAAGGATAAAATGAAAAGTAACAGTTTTGCTCAACATTAAGAACAACAGCAAGACAGATGAAAGCAGCAATTTAAACTCTTCTATCATTTGTCTTCTAACGAAGTGGTTGAATGCAAAATGGCAACACTACATTGATAGCAAACACCATACAGAGGAAGGAAACAGTCAAACAAACACTCAGTCTCTTCTTTAGAGAGGAGACTGGTGGGGTTAATTTCTTGCAGTCAAGAATCCCACATTATTTCTTAAGCTTTGTGACTATTTCTAGTAATAAATACCACACTCAGGTAATTTTATTTCTAATAAAATTGAAGAATTATTAAATACTAAGTGCAATAAGTTGACTATAAAATTTGTTTTAAATGAGCTTCTCTCATCTGCGATACAAATCTGTACTTTTAAAACAAAGCACAAATTTTTGTTCATTATTTCCCTTTTAGCACTCAAATAGTAACTAAATTATGTAGAGGAGTCTTTCCAGAAAACTTAATCATTTAAAGAGTAATTCTACTTAAGTTATATGTAGGTCCACAATCCCATTTTATGCCACATCATCAAATTCAATAGAGCGCTAGATACTTACCTTCCAGTTGAGCATCCAATTTGCTGAGGAAAGAAACATTAAATATCCTCTTTATCAGAACTGGAGGAAAATACCCAGCCACTGCCAAAACATGGCCAAGTAGTACCAACTGGTGAGTTTCAAAAAAACCTTTAAAAACCAAACAAATTCATATTAACACATGACATAAAGTTGAAAGGATTTGCAATGCCCTCCCAAATCATCCAAGTTTCTCTCTTAACGTACAAAATGAAGACACAGGCAGATTAAGGACTACCCTGCCAACTGCACCAAGGTGTGAGGTAACTCTTGCCAGGTCTTTGCAGGAGGAAACTAGTTAGTCTTAAAAAAGGTCAGTGTACAACATTTCAGTAGCCAGCAAATTCTCAGAGTTCTGTGAGGCTGTGTCATCAATCAAAAAAAAAAAAAAGTCTCTACACATTTCCTCTAAAACTTAGCCATTTCTTTGTGATAAATCACAAAATACATCCTGTCCTCAAATGATGATTCCTTGGGGAACGTGACAACAATTCTATCCAATAACAGCCCCGCAAATTAAATAGACTTTTCACTTGTTTTTCACTACGCTCAAGATACCTTGCTAGTTCCTTATCAACAGGAATTTTTAAAGGGTGAAATGAAGGCAGAAAACCCAACAGAAGTATACATTGCATCTTTGTTGTGCTTTAACCCCTGTAGGCAGACACATTTTCTTATTTGTTTAAAAAAACCTGCCATTCTATCCCCATTTTTATTCAGTACAAATAATATCTTCCAATTATACTAATTTATCAGGTGTCAGAATAATTTTGTCTAATGCACTTACTCAAGTTAGAAGTAAGATGTTGGATACAACTTTCAAAGAACCCTTCATTTGCAGGAGGGTCATAATTCAGAGCAGAGAAAAGGAAGAGAATAAAATAGATTTCAAAGGGATGCATCTGGAAAAAAAAGACATTCTAAATTAAGTCACCGCCAGATATCCTAATGTTGCTTGACAATAAAAAGAGGTTTTATATTTCATTCAGATTTGGAAGATTTAAGACTAGATGAACTGTTTCCTAAATTTTTTTTTGAAAACTCCTTCTGGAGAAAAATATTAAAAAAATAAAATATAGACATCATTAAAATTGCAGCTCTGGCTAAAATTTGAAATCTATTTAATGTAGATGATCAAAGTGCTTCTGTATACTTAGACTTTAAGAAACTTTTAAAAGGTCTCCTATTAAATACTCTTAGAGAAACTAAACTGTCATAAAATAAAATCAAAAATGTACAGAAATATCAAATTGAGGAGAAAAAAAAAAAAGATAGCGAGAAAACAGTAATTTTGACCAAAATACAGGTTATTGGGGAAATCTCCACAAGAATGAGTAACATAAAAACATACACTGCGTGATGTGACTATTTGTAAAGAGGTTAAACAAAAATTATTTAAGATGGTCAAGTGTAAAGCTAAATGCAAAGGATTAGGGTTGACCTAACACTGACTGAACAATAAAATAAGGAAGGAAAATTAAAAAGAAGTGCAAAATAATATAAATGGAAGCAAAACAACTTTGAGTGAACACAGAAAAAGATGAGCTCCAAATCAGGTACACTGAAGAAAACTCTTAAAAACACTGTGTGGACTGTGCTCTGAAACACATTAACTACTAACCCTGTCCTTTCTCACTGAGTAACTTACACGGCAGATAGAAAGAAAAATTGTAATACCTTGTCTATATTTTCAACGGTCACAGAAGCTATTCTGTCAAGTAATGAAGGACAACGGTCGTTTGTTTTTATGAGAAAAAATGACAACTGTAATACATTTGCCCGTGTTATCTGGTCTACCAAGAGCTGACACACAGCCATAGTTTCCTCTTTGAGGACTTCTTCAAACCACTCTCCATTCACATGCGTAAGTTCTTCCAACAGAAGGTTTAAGTTGTTGGCTTTCTGAAGCCTCTGAAATCCGTAGTCATTCAGTTTTTGAAGCAGCTTTACACATAGCTCAGAATTGTTTTGCCAGTGGAACTGGTCATAATGATTCCATTTGACAAGAGCTGTAGCAATGCAATTCAAATGATGGAGCCTGCATTGAGGCAGAACTGCTGCTGCTTTGCTTATAATGATTTCCTCCACTTGAAAGGAAGGAAGCGTGGCCAGAACACGTATTATTGCAGCAGTATCAGCAGGTATGACATTAGATTTTAAAAAACTGGAATAGAGACAGAAATAAAATCAGAACGTCAGTACTGACAAAGTGCAAATGTTAAAAAAAACACAAATAAATTACATGCATGAAAATTCTATTTTGAAAGTCAAAAGTTGCACATCAAATATAAAATAAGTAGAATATAAATGACATGGTAGAAATTCACACAGTTAGTGACTACCACCTTTTTTCATTAACAACTTCTAATTTATTCAAAATTGAAAAAATGAAGACGACAGGGAGCATCTCAGTTAGATGGTGAGGCTTCAAGTGTTACTGATAAACACAGAAGTCCTTAGTAAGGGAAGAAGGTCTACCTTTGTTAATAGGGTCTGTGGGTTTCTGGGCCTGGATGAACTTCTGCCCTCAGGAGCACCAGGTTCTGAGGTGCCTGAGGAACATGAAGTCATCATCCAAAAAAACATGTAGAGCCAGGGCACTGCATTCTTATAGAGGCTGAGCAACGGAAGCAACAGTGGCAGATATCTTCTCCCACGGTTCCAGAAACTGCTTCCCTTTTTATGTTGCAACTGTACAAGCCTGAGAACTAACTTGACTGTTCTTAATCAAAAGATTCTGCTTCACACTTTCATTTGTCCCAACCATGGCTCATTACTTGTTCCTCCAAACATCAAAGACATTAATACCTTCCATTCCTGTAAAGTACCAATTAAACTTTCCTGTTCAATGCCATTATATTGCAGTGACAAGGGGCAAAAAAATCTATTTTTAAAAGATACCATATCTATTGGGTCTATAGTCAAGACAATACGCAATTCCTATCCTCTGATTTACGTGTTTAATAGAATCAAGTATTTTTAACACTTGTTACTTCTTCATATTTTATGGAAACAAACCAATTTAACATCTTAGCTTGTTATTTAAAATATTAAGTAGGCAACTGTTTAATACTTAAATAGCTACATTTCCAAGAATACACACTTACCCGAACAGCAACGTTTTCAGTTTGGCAAACAACTCCAGATTGTGGCAACGCAACGCCACCAAGTACTGTGTTAACTTTACCAACTGTAATAGATGATAGCTATCCAAGTGTTTGTGCAGAACAGAAGCCATTCTGGACTCAAAGAGAAAAAGATGACATGGAATTAGGCTAATACAGAAAGTATTGCAAAACCAAACATCCCACATGAAAAAGGGGTGTCCCACTGTGCACAGCACCTAGGCGGAGGGTTGCACACACCTGCACTGCTCTCCACCCCAGTTCTGACAGTGTTCCACTAAGACACAGCAGCCTCTCCACTTACTGAATTGTAAAATTAAAGCCCTCATCACCAGTAAAACAGCTACTTCACTCTAAAAATTTCAGTTGCAGATTTTGCAATCAGTTAAATTGTAAAAGTGGACCAAAAATAGGATGAACTAGAACAGCTTCACCACCTTCAGCACCACTGTATCACATAACAGTGGTTACTACAGCCGTGTGAGTCTAAAGATGCAGGAGAGGGCCAGATTTGTAGGGAAAGATACCTTAAGTCCTTCTTTAGACAGTGAAATTCAAGCAGAAAAAGCAGGAATTCACCTGCTCTTCCCTTTAATACCACTCTGCTCCACAATACTACTTGTCCTTTTCCTGCCAAGGATCTATTTGGTTCAAACAACTACATTCAATCCAGTTATTGCTCACAACCTGCATTTAACTCTGAAGAATTTGTGACATACCGGATGCTACATCTTCTGTGCCCAGAACCTCAACCGCTTTTTCCTTCATTACATGAAAGATATTACCTCTCCCTATAAACAACCTTCCGTTTACAACTGCAGATGAAGTGGTCCAGGTTCTTGAAGATGCAAGACTTAATACTTCAAAGTAGAGCACAATGACTTTTGGAGACACAATTCATATCAATAACAGGATCTCCTAGATAGGACACGAATATAAATGACATGGTAGAAATTCACACAGTTAGTGACTACCACCTTTTTTCATTAACAACTTCTAATTTATTCAAAATTGAAAAAATGAAGACGACAGGGAGCGTCTCAGTTAGATGGTGAGGCTTCAAGTGTTACTGATAAACACAGAAGTCCTTAGTAAGGGAAGAAGGTCTACCTTTGTTAATAGGGTCTGTGGGTTTCTGGGCCTGGATGAACTTCTGCCCTCAGGAGCACCAGGTTCTGAGGTGCCTGAGGAACATGAAGTCATCATCCAAAAAAACATGTAGAGCCAGGGCACTGCATTCTTATAGAGGCTGAGCAACGGAAGCAACAGTGGCAGATATCTTCTCCCACGGTTCCAGAAACTGCTTCCCTTTTTATGTTGCAACTGTACAAGCCTGAGAACTAACTTGACTGTTCTTAATCAAAAGATTCTGCTTCACACTTTCATTTGTCCCAACCATGGCTCATTACTTGTTCCTCCAAACATCAAAGACATTAATACCTTCCATTCCTGTAAAGTACCAATTAAACTTTCCTGTTCAATGCCATTATATTGCAGTGACAAGGGGCAAAAAAATCTATTTTTAAAAGATACCATATCTATTGGGTCTATAGTCAATCCTCTGATTTACGTGTTTAATAGAATCAAGTATTTTTAACACTTGTTACTTCTTCATATTTTATGGAAACAAACCAATTTAACATCTTAGCTTGTTATTTAAAATATTAAGTAGGCAACTGTTTAATACTTAAATAGCTACATTTCCAAGAATACACACTTACCCGAACAGCAACGTTTTCAGTTTGGCAAACAACTCCAGATTGTGGCAACGCAACGCCACCAAGTACTGTGTTAACTTTACCAACTGTAATAGATGATAGCTATCCAAGTGTTTGTGCAGAACAGAAGCCATTCTGGACTCAAAGAGAAAAAGATGACATGGAATTAGGCTAATACAGAAAGTATTGCAAAACCAAACATCCCACATGAAAAAGGGGTGTCCCACTGTGCACAGCACCTAGGCGGAGGGTTGCACACACCTGCACTGCTCTCCACCCCAGTTCTGACAGTGTTCCACTAAGACACAGCAGCCTCTCCACTTACTGAATTGTAAAATTAAAGCCCTCATCACCAGTAAAACAGCTACTTCACTCTAAAAATTTCAGTTGCAGATTTTGCAATCAGTTAAATTGTAAAAGTGGACCAAAAATAGGATGAACTAGAACAGCTTCACCACCTTCAGCACCACTGTATCACATAACAGTGGTTACTACAGCCGTGTCAGTCTAAAGATGCAGGAGAGGGCCAGATTTGTAGGGAAAGATACCTTAAGTCCTTCTTTAGACAGTGAAATTCAAGCAGAAAAAGCAGGAATTCACCTGCTCTTCCCTTTAATACCACTCTGCTCCACAATACTACTTGTCCTTTTCCTGCCAAGGATCTATTTGGTTCAAACAACTACATTCAATCCAGTTATTGCTCACAACCTGCATTTAACTCTGAAGAATTTGTGACATACCGGATGCTACATCTTCTGTGCCCAGAACCTCAACCGCTTTTTCCTTCATTACATGAAAGATATTACCTCTCCCTATAAACAACCTTCCGTTTACAACTGCAGATGAAGTGGTCCAGGTTCTTGAAGATGCAAGACTTAATACTTCAAAGTAGAGCACAATGACTTTTGGAGACACAATTCATATCAATAACAGGATCTCCTAGATAGGACACGTTCTATTCAACTTACTATATTCTCATTTGTCTCACCAGTTTACAGTAATTGCTAGAGTCTAAGTTTACTCAAGTAGCATCACGTATGTGTAAATAAGCCAAAAATTATATTACAGAATCTTGGCAGGGTTGAAATGCCCTTCTACAAAATTCCTAAATTGCCTCAATTACTTCTGGGTCAAGCTGTGATATTCTAAAATCTGTAATACCTAATTATATATAGCGTATATCCACCTGTGTGCAGGTGACACGCTCTCCATTTTCAACTTACTGGATATTATATAGTTTTCCATAATAAATGGAAGTAGTTTACCTAGAGAATACAACTTCTTACTAATATGAAAAAATTACTTTTTGAGTAGATGAGAATTTCTGCATTTCATTTTCTGCATCGTCTTCAGTACTACCAATACTTGTTGACTGCTAAATTCTTCTGCCATGTGCACTGCAGTTAGTAGCAACCTAAAGAGGAAAAGAAAAGATACGTTTTCCAAAGAAAGGCAATTGAAAAATCTCCAGCAAACACTGCAGCCATTTTCTCTGTCTAGGAGGGAAAGAACCAATAGACTACTTCAGGAAAAACAGGAAAACAAATTCCCCCAAATTAGAGACATTTTTTCTGTGGATGCTTCTTCTGAACAGTTGATCTGTATGGCACAGGTAAAGAGATGTGAGTGTGTTAGATCAGTACATATTGCTCTGATGCTAGAAACCAGCAAGTTCAACAATTCTGAAAGCAGACAAGAATCAGGGAAGGTACTCTAAGGCACTAAACAATTCACAATCAATCAGCAAGCTACAGATAACAGAATCAAACATGAGTTGAACTGGTTCTGGGGAAAATAAAGGCAATGACTTTTATTAACACACACTGATTTTTACCAAAAAAATTAAAAATCTAGGAAAAGCTTTTTGAACTAAGACAGCTATGGCAAAACTAATGCAGGCTTGAGTATATCCAGATCTCTGAATAGAGGCAAATGTTCATGAAGAGAAGTCTGAAAATATGACTAATTGTAATTAATACAGCGAATTCTGCCTAAAACTGCACGCTTTGAGAGACCCATGACTAATACCACCCCCAAACAGGATTTTGCAGCACAAAAAAACCCCAGGCAACAAAAATCTGCTACACAAAACTGTGGTCTAATTGCCAAATAAATGCTGAAGTGTTCCCTGCTGATGATCTTTCATATAGAATAAGATGTACAGCAAACTGTGATATGACAAGACTCAGGCTGTTTCAGCTACTGCCAGTCTTAAAAAGGAGAAAAGCAACACACACCACTTTATATATTTCTCAGGAGAAAGACAGAAAATTTTTTACTACCGTCCATCGTGAAAGGATGGCTGTACTCTAAGAGACAGAGCTACAAGATGCCCTCACGTAACAGCATTCACATACCCCTTCATTACTGGATCCAGCTTTCTGTGCAACTGTTTCAGGACAAATATCTATGACAGTGTTTCTATAATGAAGTAACACTTTGCTACAAAGTTACAACTAGAAAACAGTGCTCAGCTCCCCAATAGGCTTAGAAATTCTTCCAAACACCAGTACATTTTTAATTTCTGTGCAAGAAGACAAAATTTTTAATAAACTTACCTTTCTCTTACCTTGGATCCTGCCATAGGCCCAAGTGCAAAAAATAATTTTGCAAAGGTTTCAGGATCATGACGATCATCTACAGTTTCAGACAGCAACTGTTTAGCAACTAAGCGGAATTCGGCACTGTCAAAACCCAGCTGCTCATACAGTCCAAAAATAAAACCAATACTGTGTATATCAAGACGGGAGGCACTTTTAAGAAAAATGTTGTTGCATTTTTCTACCAAAGGATGATATCTCAGTTTAACATTTTGAAGAAACTGTAGAATTCTTTTGGCATAGTTGAAGTGGACTTCATCATTTTCTTCCAAGAGCTGTTCAGCCTTGTGTAGTAATCGATCTCGAAAACTCTGTGAGATAACATCAGATATGCTGATCATCAAAACTGACAAGACCCTAAAAAATTCAAAAGATTTCACACTTACACATTGAACATGGCAAGTAATACATTTTAGATTTCTTAAATAAACTATGCAAAGAAAGGAACATGACTCAGGGTGTTGCTGACTTCCGCATAAAAAGCCATTTTAAACCTATTGCAGAAAATACAGATGAGCAAAAAACATTTCTCCTACTGCAGTCAAAATTCTGCTTTCAGTGAATTTCTGAAATAATTGGGATTTTTCAGCCATCTCTTACAAATCTGTAGGCGATGAAAGCGTTTGCCTAAGGCAAGACCCTGACTTGCCTGATTCAAACTTGCAAAAAGATCTTTAATATTCAATGGACACTAAAGAAACCCAAACAATCGCCAAGTGACAGAATGGGGAGAAGATGTTACTCCTAAAGAAAGAATCCCTTCCTAAGGGAATAAAACTTATGACTGCAGGGAGAGCAAGTTCTATAAAGAAATGTGGTCCTATTCAATGTGTTTCATAAGCAGCTCCTCACATCTGCAAAAATAAGCGTTGGGACTGCTGGTGCTGTATAAAGCAGAAAAAGGGAAGAGCAGCCTTTGCTATAATGACCCAGGGGGAACAGGGGCAAGAAAAAGAAGCCTGAACTTCTTTTGACTAGGGTCAGGTTTTAAGTAATTTTAATAGTAGGGTAATGCAGTAGACACGCTAGCAAAAGAATTGACTAATTCAACTTGACCAAAAAAAAAAAGCTGTTCTGAAGATAAACAAAAATAACATTGCTTTAAGATTCCTTATTGCTATTCATAATAGTAAACTAAATCCATGTCATAGTAGACGAACTGTCAATCTCAAGGAAGAAAAACATTCTAGTAAGTGAGTAGCCTCTAAATTTTCAAAAAAGTCCGTGTAAAATTTAGAATCAGGATAATGCAATATCTGCTGGTTTTCCACTGCAAGTAGAACTTTACTTCCAATTAAGCGTTTAACTTAGTTATAAAGAAAATCTTCACAACAGCACTGGGAAAATGCATTCACGTAAGTAAACCTGTTTATGAAAATCAATGCACTGATACAAATCACCTCTTTCCCACAAACCCTAAACTGAAGAAAAGCAAACTCCAGTTGAGAAAAAAGGAAAGCATTCAGCAAAGGCAGCCCAGTAATTGTCACATATTGCTTCTCCTGCTACTTAATTTCATTCTGACACTTACCTTATATCCTGTATAGAATCCAGTTTCATGTCCACAATATGAGCTACTTTGCCAATTACAGGACTGAAATGTCTGTGTTGCTTGTATAAACACAGTGCGAATTTAGACAGAGCTGGCAGACTAAGCCTGTCAAGACATCAAAAGACAGACAGAATATTTACCTTTTATTTCTAGTGAATAACTCAAGACAAAAATCTAGTTCAACAAATATATAAAAGACAAGGTTACATTCAAATTACAAAACAAGGAAACAAAGCATCTAAGTATTTCCTATTTGGTCACCTATAGTGATTCCTCAGACTTAGCCAAAACATCTAGATATTTTATATTCAAGCATATTGTGCGTACAGAGCTCTACAAAACTCAGAAGTTATTCATCTAACCACATCAGCATAAGAAATCTAAAAGATTACATTTTCAAGCAATGATGTAAAATAGCTAAAATGAATGTGAGCAATTTATTACCTGAATGTCATTTTGTGTTCAAGCTACACTTAATTTATTTACTTGTAAAGATGCCCCAGGTGTTAAGCTGGGAGAGGCAATTCTGTGATGCTGGTGCCAACACTGACACTAGCTTCTGCCATTAACCTGAGATTAAAGAATGAAAATTACAATATAAAAAAATTAAAATCAAAACAACCCAAAAAACCACAACAACAACAAAAAGCCACACAAAGGGAAAATGTTCTAACAACCATTTAAGAGTTGGACAACAAGCTCTAAGATAAAACTAAATATTAAAACCTGCAATTTACTTCAAACACATAAACCTACATAGACAATGTTTCAAAATCTTCAGTGTTGGTCACTGTTGTTGTAGTACCTGAATCTCTCAAGCAAAGTCCATCAATACTCAAAGCCTCCACATGTACAAAAATAATTTCCAAATCCTTCAAAATACAATCGTCATTTAAAATATTCACATGGTGTTTAAAACATCTCATAAATACTCTTTGAGAACCCTGCGTAGCCTCGCATGAAGCAAATCAAACCATGCGTGCAACTTATACCTTTCAAAAAGTATAGTAATTGCATACTTGCCTTTCTAATCTTTTCCATGCTTCTGTAACAAGCACTTCTGCTAGAGAATCATGGTCTTGAACATTGAGCCTTCAGAAGAAAAACACAGGAGTTTGACACTTGCTTCAGAAGTTATTAAGAAATAAGACCTATGTCCTTTCAATGTTTATCATGTTTTACTCTTCTATGACTCCCTCCACTGAAATAGATGATAAACATTTGTGCATTAATAATCATAACTCCGTTTACTGGGAGTGCAAAACAGATCAGTTCTGCCTGCATCTCAAAAACTGAGGCACAGGACGTTGTCTGTGTCACGCAGTCATGGTACAGAAGCTTGGACAGGATAGTCTCCCGATCTCCTTATACAATGGTTTTGTAGTCAAAATTTCATCTCTTTTTATTACCAAATACAAAATGTAGATGTGGAATTCAACATAATGCTGCTTACCTCAGAATACTATATAGGGTGTCCACTATGGCCTCATCTTCCATGTGTTCAACCTTGTTTTCTGCTAAAATGCAAAGAGTGAGGAACTGGGAGTGATTTCTTATATAGTCACTAGTCCTTAAGAGAAGGGGCCTCTTCTTTTGCAATTGCCACAGCACGTTCAATGCAATTCCCACATGTTTTTCAGAAAGCCTGGCCTTGTTCTTTCCAACAAGGCTGAACACTTCATCTTCGTGGGTGCAGCTATTTATCTGGCTCACAAGCAGATCACTACTCAGAGTCCGAGCTTGGTAACGTCGCAGCGTAAACAAGCAAACCTGCCTCAAACAAAGCATTTTGCTATGCCTACCAGCTATCTTTAAAGTGTCCAGAAAGATTCTTCTTTCACTTTTCACAGTAAACCATGTTGCTACAAAGAACAAACTCAAGTATATGAAAACCAGATCATTTTTTTTTCGTCCTGTACGGCCACTGAATTAAGAATAATTCAATTCTGATGTACCTGTAATGAGAGAGAATTAAATCAGGTAAGTACAGTAATAACTACTAGCTTAAAATCCATGTCTCTACCTTTTAATGTTCTGAGAAGAACCTAGAACCTGGATTCTTCTCAGAGAAACTCCCAACCATGAACGGTGACATACTCATAAGCACCAAGAAAAGCTAGTACACTTGCTATGTTTTCAAATTTAGAAACCTGCCTTTAAAAGGCTCGTGTGCTATCTACATGCTACTACTGAGAAGGCAAAGCTAAGCTTTTTAACAAGCAGGTGCTGCATGACAAAGTCAAGTGAAGCTTACTCTCACCAGAGCACTCCATAATCCCAACCTGGAGTCTGGGAACTGCCAGAAAATAGAACTATTGGTAGTAAAAGGAAGTGAGATGGCAAGAGCTCCTGAACTGTCATCACTGAATTCCTCTGGCTCTATATGTGCATCCGTCCCTGAGTGATATCTACTGTAATCTGTCTACGAGCCTCTCCTAGGGTTTCCTTTCCACTCTCCTCTCTTTAGTGTGTGGTCTGTGTCTTGTAAACACATGAAGATCTTGGTATATGGCTTCTGGTCAGGAAGGTTGACCATCTTTGTAATATTGGATATCGATCGGTCACAACACATCAGCTGAAATCACTCCCTGTGCAAAAGAAAAGCAACCTAATTCCCCAAATTATAGTGGAAGCTACAGACTTATGTACTGAAATTTGGTAAGTATTAATTTGTTTTCTTAATATATCGCCCAATTTGTACACAGTGCTATGTATTCTACAACGTACAAAATTGGTTCCAAGCTGCAGAACACAAACCACTGGTAGTAAATATTGTGGTACACCAAAAAAGACCCATCAAATTCCCTTACAAAACTTATCAACATACCATATCTTCAGCAAAGTTGAAGGCTCTTCAACTGTAGGCATGATTCCATCAATGTAACATTATCAAGGCAATGGCAGCAGTATCCACTAGGCGCACTGAGAAAGAAAAAAAAACCTTATTTGAACAGTCTATGTACAGTGCTGAAATCATTCCACAGAACTGGATATAACTAGATTTCTTTTGATGTCTGTGCAATCAGCTTCAGAGAATAAAAATTCCTATGACATATTGTACTACACTGCTGTTGCTGACAGTGGGGAAAATACAAAGAAAGCTAAAATTGAGTCATTTTGATTTATGATCTGTTATAATATGAAGTATTTTCTCCCCTATGCAAAATGAAAACATACAAAAAGAAAAGGTACAAATTTTCCAATTATTATATATTAAGTACCTCTATAATAATGATTTACTTTATAGTTCCTTTTCAAATATTGCTTTTATTGCTTCTATTTATTCCATACGATAGTTGTCTTTACAAAGATTTTATTCCACTTTATCACTGAGAAAAGTTGTGTGACAAAGTTGTGTGACATTATTTATCCCATGTAATCTCCATAAAAACAAATTTTGCTTTTAGTATGCTCTTAGTATGCAGCCACATGGTTTTAGAAGAAGCTGGAACTTCTTATGATATTTTATAACATATATTAAATAAGCTAAAATACGTATGGCTAAAATACATACGAAAGGTTAGTAAAGCCACTGTTAAATCACAATCTTGTAATCTTCCACAAAATCTCTAGTACTAAATTAACCACATTTACCAGACCACTTGGCAATTTTTTTACCCCACAGATTTTCCAGTTGATTAAAAATACTTTTTCTGTTCCCTTTTGCCATGTAGATGGTAAATCAGACACAGTAGCAATAACCAAAAGTAGAAGCGATTGACTGTTTCACCAACAGCTTCTAAGCAGAAGCTGCAAAACAGAGTTATCAGAATTATCAAACTGTACAAACTACCTAGTTTAGAGAGAGGGAAAAAAACCCATTTCCCCTCTAATGACATGATAGTAAAGTACAGCTTGAAAAACAGCAAAATTTTTTAACCTTTTTGTATGACTATGTCCAGAGTCCTAGCTGCAAATGAACAGGAATTTTTTCTTAATCCTGTTTTAGAGAACTAAGACAGCATCAGACAAATTGCTTTAAGACAATATTGATATATTTAAACTTGTTTCTAAGATTTCATGTACTGTGCTATAGAACATTAAGCAAAGGCTTTTTATTAGTGTACTTTTGCCTTGCTTACTGTTACTCTACTTTCATATATCCATCCCATAGAAAAAAATAGTTCCAGTATCAATTCACATTTACTCCCCACAGTACTGTCAAGCTAAACTGCCAGAAGACATGATGAAGTAAATACCTGAAAAGAATATAAAAACTTCAGGCATAAATAATTTCCTTGTAAGGCCAGGTAACACATCCTTTCCCCTTCTCGTGCTACAGTGGCCCTTACATCACCTGTCCTAATGACTAGGAACCAGGATCTCTATCTAAAACAGTCTGCAGGAAGTTTCCAAATATTTATCTTTCTGGAAGGTATTTAGCAGATGCAAGTGATTTACCACAGACTTGTATGCAATTTTAAATTGCAATATCTAATAAAATCAATAGGAAATGTTGGATGTTTTAAACCTTACAAATACATAGATTTAAAACAGTAAATTTGTAAAAAAACCAGTAAATTGTAAACAGCCTGCCCTCCCCGTCGCCGGAGGGGTCCCGGGCCGCGGCCCCGGCCCGTCCACACCGGCAGCTGCCGTCGGAGTGGAGCTTAAAACCAGCACGTTTAAACCAGCACGTGGGGGTGTGTGGGGGGGTGTGTGTGTCCGTGTGTGTGTGTGTGTGTGAACGTTTAAACCAGCACGTGGGGGTGTGTGTGGGGGTGTGTGTGGGGGTGTGTGTGTCCGTGTGTGTGTGTATATGTATGTGTGTGTGTCCGTGTGTGTCCCGGGACAGCGTTTCCCATCAGCTGAGCTGTCAGGAAATGTATGGAGAAAGGGGAAAGTCCAGCCAGTTACACCTTCCAAATGAAAATAAATAATACAAAAGTTCCAAGGTCATTTTGAGTATCGAGGTCATACTAGTAAAACCAATGTTCTTATAGCACATTCTGAGGGAAAAAAAGCAGGTTTTCCCTGCCTAGAAAAATCACAAAGGGATTGAAGTCCAGGAAGGGTGAAGTTCAAGAGTCTGGCTTCACTGTACTGGAATTAACATTATACCACATTATAATATTTTCATGCTTTGCAAAAAAAAAGGTTTAAAATGTATGAGTTCTGCAATGCCAACCTAACACATTGCAGCATGTATGTTGCTTATGCTGTACACATATCGCTCCTGGTCATCTTTCTGGACCTTTTTTCACCACCACTGATAATAACAAGGACATTTAGATAGAATAACACCTCAAATTGTTCGGGGACTATTACCGTGACCTATTCTGACCAGCTGTTTCGCACTGTCTATGAAGGGTTTTTTGACATTTTGTCTGTTGTATATGTATACTTCATATATTGGAGTTATACTAAAACTAATAAAATAGCCTCTACTGTATTTATTATAGATCTGTAGTGTTTTAGAAAAACAGCCTGTAAGATTTTCAACTGGATTTGTAACAATTTTTCTACCTGTAAAATTGGTAAGTGGAACAGCTCCTGTACCCTTCTGCTAGCAAATCCAGATGGCCTTAGTTAAGGTCTACACATGCATGCAAGTCACAGAGGGACCCAAATCCCATCAGGTGTTCTTAAAGGCTGGCACTTACCTTTTTCAAGAATCTCAGGCCTTGTGCAAACTGACATAAGAACTCCAAGGCATCTGATCTCCTACTTTAGAGGGAAACCATTCCACGTGCAGACGAAGGGGACTTCTGCAAATCACAGAAATTTTTCATGTACAAGATGCTGAACTTTTCACTTTCAACTCATCAAGTACACTTGGATTAAATAAATTAATAATGCCTAAAACAAATTTTGAAAGCTAGCTAAAATTACCTCACATTTTAAGTTGGACCCATAGGGGAAGAAAACAAGATTTATCAAAGCATGCTCTGCTGAAGCCAGTGTTGATTTACTGAAGTCCAGTCACCAGCCTCTTCAGGATTTCAGAACTCACTGGGGTCAACCTCTCAATTTTTCATTTTTTTCCCCGAGAAATTCAAAAGGAGAAAATTTTTTTCCTGCTTTCAACAGCCAGTGACAGGGCTTCCATTTCCTCCTGTTATGTATGATTACTAACCCCAGTACTCACTGCTCTGAATTAAAACCCTTCAAAGGAAGTATGTACTTCTGTGTAGGCCTCACTTAATTTTGAAGGTGCTCACAGCTTTATGCATTGCCATAAACTTTCACAGCCCTGTTTTTAAAATACATTAACTTTGAATGGCAACATAGACATATGGGAGAAGACTACCAGGAACTCTTTTTGCTAACGGTTGGTCTAAATTCCCATTTTATTCCTTCACAGCCCCTAACGACGTGCGCCGGGCGCTGCCGGAGTCACCCTCAGCCCCTCCACTCCTGTTTCAGACGGTCTTTTTACTAGTCCCCCGGCGGTTTCCCGGGCTCTGGGCCCACCGCTGGCCCGCCGGCAGGGGAGGCCAGCACCAGCCCCGCACACCTCGGGTTGGAAAGCACTCGTCTACCTGCAGAGGCCTCCGGCCGCTCCAGCGACACCGCCGCCTTCCCGCGCTGCGCCCGGCCTTCCCTCAGGCGGCGAGGCCGGCGGCCGGGCGGCGGGAGGGGGCGGAGCGCCTCTGACGAGCCCGAGGAGGCGGGCGCCCCCCTTCCCCCAACCGATTCGGCTCCTTCCGAGCGGCCCCCGCCGTCTCACCGGGCTGTACCGCGGCCGGCGAACCCCCCCCGCCTTCCCCCTTCACCCTTGCCGGGCCGGGGTGCCGCTTCTCCCGTCTCCGCGCGTCACCCCCCCCGCCCCCGCCGTACCGCCCCC